TTTTTTTTTTTTTTTTTGAGACAGAGCCTCAAGCTGTCCCCCTGGGTAGAGGGCTATGGCATCACAGCTCACAGCAACCTCCAACTCCTGGGATCAAGTGAGTCTCTTGCCTCTGCCTCCCAAGTAGCTGGGATCACAGACACCCACCACAATGCCTGGCTATTTTTTGTTGTTGAAGCCATCATTGTTGTTTGGCAGGCCCGGGCTGGATTCGAACCCACCACCTTAGGTGTATGTAGCTGGCGGCTTAGCCACTTATGCCACAGGTGCTGAGCCTATTTTTTGTTTTTTTAGAGATGAGGTCTTGCTCTGGCCCATGCTGGTCTGAAAACTGTGAGCTCAGGCAATCCACCTGCCTCGGCCATCCAAGTGCTCGGTTTACAGCCATGAGCCACTAATACTCTTTTTTTTTTTCCTTCATATTCTTATATGCAAACTTATTGTACAGAGCTTCTGTTGGCGCTTTAGGCTTATTTGGAATTTGTCTTAAATAAGCCAGAGTAATATCGATCTGAATTTTTGTTTTCTAGATTTATAATTTATCCCAGAACATTCAGGAAGATGATCTTCAACAGCTACAGGTATGTATTTCTCATAAATACTTTATTATCAAAATATATTATTCAATAGTTCTAAGATTAAGGAAGATTTTTAAACTCAGTAAAAGATTGAAATATAGAGAAAGTTCTTTTGTTCATCTTGTATATTTATTGCTAGGGTGGAGCAGGGGTGGTCAGGGAAGGCCTTACTGATTTGAGCAGAGTACAGAAGAAAGTGGATGAGTCCTTCAGATACATCTGGAAAAGAAGATGTTAATAGGAAAGGGAGCAGCAAGAAGAAAGAGCTAAGGTGGAGTGTGCTTGGTGTGAGCCAGGACTGGCAGGAGGGTGTGACCAGAGAGGGCTCCATGATGAAGTCAGAGAGGCAGTGAGGTGTTGGTTGTGCCAGGGATCTCCCTTGGGGTCTGGGGTGGAGGGTGGCGGTTCTGGAGGGTTTCAGCACAGAAGTGATGTTATTGAACATTATAAAAGGACCTGGGCTCGGCGCCTGTAGCTCAATGGCTAGGGCACCAGCCACATACACTGGAGCTAGTGGGGTTTGAACCCAACCCAGACCTGCCAAACAATAATGACAACTATAACCAAAAAATAGCCAGGTGTTGTGGTGGGCACCTGTAGTCCCAGCTACTTGGGAGGCAAGAGAATCACTTAAGCCCAAGAGTTTGAGGTTGCTGTGAGCTGTGATGCTACCCCACTCTACCAAGGGTGACATAGTGAGACTCTGTCTGAAAAAAAGGATCTGGTAGTTGTGCTCAGTATAGATTTTTAGTGGGCATGGAGGATGCATTGAGAGTGGTTATGGAGTTATTAAAATAATCCAGGTGAGGTTAAATAAATTAATACTTGTTAAATGCATAGAACTGTGTGCCTAGAAAATAGTTTGTGCTTAATAAATATTAGCCATTATTATTACCGTTTTTCATAGCAGAAGTTCTTATCTTTTTTCCCATAAAACACTCTTCAATGGGTATTCTAGGGTGGCATGCTTCTCTAATTCTGTTTCTCTTGTTGATATTTAAGAAAACATCAGAATGTGAGTGAGTGTTATTTTTATTTTATATTCCTCAAAAAAAAAATAATTGAGAGCAACACTGAAAAGGAAAAAAAAAAACCCAAATAATTTTTTTTCTTTTCTTTTCTTTTTTTTTTTTTTTTGAGACAGACCCTCAAGCTGTTGCCCTGGGTAGAGTGCTCTGGCATTACAACTCACAGCAATCTCGAACTCTTGGGCTTAAGCGATTTTCTTGCCTCAACCTCCCAAGTAGCTGGGACTACAGGTGCCTGCCACAATACCTGGCTATTTTGGGGTTGTAGTTGTCATTGTTTGGCAGGCCCTGGCTGGATTTGAACCTGGCAGCTCTGGTATATGTGGCTGGTGCCTTAGCCACTTGAGCTTCAGGCACTGAACCAGCCACATAATTTTTAAACTTTGGGCCTTAATAACAATTAGTTTCACTTTTTTCTTTGAGACAGAGTCTTTGTCACTGTTGGTAGAGTGCCATGTTATCACAGCTCACAGTAACCTCAAATTCTTGGGCTCAAGCAATTCTCTTGCCTCCGCCTCCCAAGTAGCTGGGACTACAGGGGCCTGCCACAATGCCTGGCTAGTCTTGCTCTTGCTCAGGCTGGTCTCGAATTCATGAGCTCAGGCAGTCCACACACCTTCGCCACCTCCCAGAGTGTTAAGACTAGAGGCGTGAGCCTTTGTGCATTTCTTTATTGGTAGTTCTATATCAGTGCCATTAACTCAGTGGTTGAGAGTTGTTGCTCTGTAAACTTTTTCACCAAAACTTGACTTTGTCACCATTTCCCTTAAAAAGTTATTCCTTTCTGAACTCTTTTCCTTTCACACATTTCTTTCTTCTTTTTTGTTTTTTGTTTTGAGACAGAGTCTCACTTTGTCACCCAGGGTAGAGTGCCATGACACAGCAACCTCAAACTCAGCCTCCCAAGTAGCTGAGACTACAGGCACCTATCACAACACCCGGCTATTTTTAGAGATGAGGTCTTGCTCTGGTTCAGGCTGGTCTTGAACTCCTGAGCTCAGGCCGTCCACCTACCATGGCTTCTCAGAGTACTGGGTTTATAGGCATGAGCCATCTTGGTTGGCCTTCTTTTCACAAATTTCTTGAATGTCTAACTTGTGCAAGGTAGAAGGCCCAGTGCTACAGGTACACATATTGGGTGTTAGGAATTTTTTTTTT